GATGGAAAGTGTTAAGGTCAGATGTATTGGGTCAATTACTCATTAGTTTAGCATTTTCAAGCCATGTCCAAGTGACTGACAAGTCTAATTTATTGACACCTCTTAAGAATGTAGATATTAATGGAAGACCCCCAAATATTTTACATTCTAAAGGCTACAGAAAGTCAATGTCATAGTCCTCAATTAGGGTTTAGACATGATGTAAAATAAAAGGATCTTTTAACATAGGATATATTGGCAAGAAAAGAGTCTGAATTAGAAAGATACAGTTTTATCAGCAAAAGTCTCTTCCTATTAATTTTTGAATGGGCTTCTGAATTGGATGTATTCTTTATTCTTTACTTCTCTTGTTCAGGAACCAGGGAGTATGGAGGGGCACTTTGTATACTGGGATCTGGTATTTAACATACTTCTTATGAAGGGCCTATTGTTTAACCAGAGCCAAGATGGTTAAGGTTTTTACCCTTCTCAGCTAAAATGATATCACCAGAGCATTAAATCCTGGTGCTACTCCAGACTTGTAATGCTGGAAAGGATGGAATTCATTGATGTTAAGAAGGCACATCATTCTTCAGTGTGTGTATTGCAAGGACAGAAAGGTTGGGGGAGAAATGGATGCAGGGAGAACTTACACAGAAGTCAGCAAACAGCAGCCTGTTGCCTTGATGTCCTAAGTGAAGTTTTATCAGAACAGTCACGCTACTAATTTACATATGGTTTATGGCTGCTTTCAAGGTACAATAGCAAAGTTGACTGGTTGTGATGGAGACCTTATGGCCACAAAGCCAAAAATATGTACTACCTGGTTGTGATGGAGACCTTATGGCCACAAAGCCAAAAATATGTATTATCTGGTCCTGTCAGAAAAAGTTTGCTGACTCTTATTATAGACTATGAGAATCTTAACTGAGAGCAAACTGTAAAACACACACATGCGCATGTACAAAACAGGATATGATTGGGATTTTGAACACTGATATTTGCTATTAAGAGATTTTGGTGATGTAGAAATATGCTATGCTAAAAAAGCATTTGAAAATTGAGTAGAGATACTAAAACTATCACTTTCCTTAAGAATAATCTGGGAGGGGGGAACTCAGAAGTTTCCTGATTTCATCCTTTGAGAGAAGATGATGTTGTTTCCCTACCCAATATGTATGCGGAATGAACATTAACTCTAAGTGACTGTGATTTTACTGATTTATTGGATAGGAAAAACTTCACTAGATCAATGTTCCTTCATCTAGGCCCTCACATCTTAAATTAAGGTGTCAGTTTCCCTGAGTACATAAATGGTTCTAGGGGGGAAAAAAGAGCTTGTCTAATCTTAGAGAGTGGTCCAACAGAGCTGACAGAACTAGGAGGCACTAAAAAGTAATCTATGCACATTCCTGTCCCAGAAAAAGATACAAATGGCTATTATAAACATTTTTGTTTGCCAGTTAAGACAAAAATATTAAGGTCCCTGCAAAAATTATATGGGTAATAAACACTTTTCCCAAAGACTTAAGATATATTTCCAAGGTCAAAGTATTATATTACATTGAAGGTGAACAATATAAAGTGCTGTGTGTGCCTTAGCTTACCTTAGTTTGCACCATTTTATTTTTAGTCATCCTGTCCATTCCTCCCAATTTCTCCCACTTTTCAAAATTGCTGAAATGAAGGGCCTTTCTGATAAAGTTCCCTGCTTGTTTAATCTTGTAGCTTTTCTCATTCCCAAATGGCTTGTAGAAATAGCTAAGAACAGAATATTCAGTGTGATCTCATTATTCATCACAGGTAACCATTTTCTCACAAACGGGTATTTATGTGCATCTGGAATCTGTGTGGCCAAAGAAGGGGTCCATAGATTGAAATGGGAGCTCCCTTCTGAGTGTGGTGAGTCATCCATAGTAACAAAGAAAAGCCAACAAGACAAGACTAGAGCAGTCAATCTACCTTCAGAAGGCAAACTTGAAGTCTAGTGTAAGATTCTATTCAATATCTCTAAGCCTGTGTAATAAAATCTTAAAAGGAAGCAAATTGAAGAACACCAATGAAAGAAAAATCATATTTACATATATAAAACTGTAGTTGTTTACATAGCCTTTAATTAATGCCTTCAATTTCTTTTGCCATAATGAGGATAAGGCCCTGGGCTAGTAGTACTCTTGGAGTCTGATCCAATTCTGTAATTGCCATTCTTTGGAATGAGCTAATTGTTTTACTTAGTCATTTAGGTGAAAATTACCTGTATTTTGCCGTATAATTCCCCCCACCCAAATTTTTGAGGGAAAAATAAGGATGTGCATTATACACGGGTAGTACTAATTCCGTACCTATATAATGTTAATTCTTTTATTTATGCTCATGCATTAAAAGTGTAATTCTAGAAAGCAACTGATATCCATGTGCAAAATAATACCCTGGAATGCAGTAATCATTTTGTTTCTAAATATAAATAATTGAATTAAAACTAAAGATTTTTTTTCCTGAAAGTTTGGGCCAAAAACATGGGCATGCACTATATACATGGGAGCACATTATATATGGCAAGATATGTTACTTCAAAAATTAGTGTGGTAAAACCTGCTTTGGAGAATTGCCCATGTCTCTATGTAAACGGCACCATCCCAGTTTAGAAAGGTGGGTAAGTCAAGAAGGGGGATGAGGTGACAGAAGTATTCAGCTCCATGAATCTTTCACATGAACACATTTGTTTCATATGGCAAGACATAAATGCCATCCCCCAACATGCCTCTTCACAAATACAGACATCCTACTGGCAACTTAACCATCAGCTCCAAGTACCTTTATTGATGCATTGTGCATTCTATACTACATCAAGGGAAAACTCCAACAGGGCTTTCTTCCTAGGTTTTCACATCTTCCTTATATACACTGAATATTAGACATTTACATGTTAGTGTAACTACACCAATTATTTTGAAACAAATATTTTTGCAGCAAACAGGTAATACTTAATCTTGTCACTAAGTATTCTGAGTTATGGAGGTGGTGTACATTAAAACATCACAAGACTTTTTCATTGAGATCTCTAAATATTTGCTGTAGGTTGGGTTCAGTCATTGTCTTTGGGTATGATCACCTATGGGTGTACTGCAGGTAAGGGTGCCAAGGGCCCAGGATGCATGATATCCAGTGCTTGGCAACACAAACTACTTCTAAACAAAATTAGCCTGAAAGCTACAAGCCATTAGGTACTAGCAGGCAAAATCCTTAAGTTACTGCTGCCTTTAACTATCATTCATTTAGTAGGTAATATTGAGCTCAGACTATGTGCCAGGTATTGTATTTGAATATACTTTGTAGTGTATAATTTCAGAGTTTTCCCAAATCTAAAATTTATTGAATCATCTTGATATAGGTAAAAACATTAAAATAGAAGTTCAGGAGCCCTGTCCTAAAATTCATGGCAAAGTAATCATAACAACTTTTCTGGGAATCAGTTCTTTATCACTCTCAAGTTTCTTCCAACCTAAAAAATTCCAGTTACCTTGAAACCATTTTATGTACTGTTCTCTCACCAGCTGTTGGGACATGTGCCAAGAAGTAAGATTGTCTTCTGTGCATCTTTTACTAAGATTCAAAAATGTACCCAATGGTGCTTGGAAGATGAATGTTTTCATATTGCCAAATTTTGGTGATGTTGGAAAAAAAAATATCTGGCTGATGGTCAGAAGGTAGTATTCATAGCAAGTAAGGCACTGTGCAGTTATGGAGCATATTTTTTATTCACTTTAATCAATTTAATAGATATCTTGTAGTTCACTTTTATATTTCCTTCTTTAGTACAAAAATCAGATAGTTATGACACAGACTAAGGCTTGAAGGACATTTGATTTCCTATCTAACCACAGATCCAATAATTAAATTTGTTTGTGATGACTTGTAGGGAAAAAGAAAGAAGTTCAACAGCAATTTTTTTCCATAAAGTGAAACATGATTTCTAAATTTTAATTGTGCCCTTTTTGGTGTCAAAATACCCTTCATAATATTTACATATACATAACCTTATCAATGTTTTTAGTAAAGCAAAACAAAAAACTAGCAACTACAATGGTCTGAAAAATTTAAAACAAAATATAGCACCCTTCAACAGAAATGTTTGGTTAAAACTGCCTTAACCAAATGCTTGTCAGGTAGTCATTCACTTTATCAGGAACATTTCCAGTGGTAGATTTGGGGTTTTTCTCAGGCAATCCCATTTCATCTTTGGGTAATTTTTATAAACTGCCCTTTAATCTTGACCGAAGTGGTCTCAAATGATTGGAAGCATACAGGGTATATCTAATTTTTCTGTCTCTTGACAGTTTTCTTATAAGACTAAGGAAACTGGGCATTATATGCTACATGGACTCCCTAACCCCTCCTTTAATTTGCTCTCCTCCCAACTAAATCGTAACTTTCATTCCTTTAGTAAAGCATGAACATCTGGTCATTCTGTGATTTCCTTTGTTCTACTGTTAAGACCACAAAAACCTAAAAAAAATCTAGTTAAGTATGTTTTATCCATATTATTTAAAGACTTGAAATTTATGTTTTATAATATAACCTATTAATCTACTAATATGCAGGAAATATGGGATGAAGTGATTTACCTTTGCTTTTTAGCTCATCTCCCAAATTATGAACACATGTAAATTATAAGGGAAGATTTTAATGTTTTCTAAAACTTGTAAAGAATTCTTAAAGTAATTGTGATATAAATGACATGCTGATTACAAATCACTGGTGTTCTGAAGTAGCTCTCTAAGCAATACTAAGAGGTAGTTTGAGTCACTTATTTACTTTATAAAAGCACACAACAGGAACCCTTAAAATATTCTATAATTCAAACTTGTAAACCTTAAGTACAAAGATATCTGAATTATACATTAAAAGTCTAAGTTCACAGAGGTGTTCCCCTACCCCAATTAGTCTAATTTTGTACACTTTAAATGCAAAGAAATCTGAATTAAATGTCAGAGTCAACAAAATTCACAAGCCAGAAGCCATTTAGTGCTCACAAGTTTATATTTTTTAGATTTGATAGAGATTCTTGTGTATTTTCTAAATACACAGACAAACAGTTTTGGAAGTTTACATACATGTCTTAGGACACTTATACTAGGTAGGTAAATTACATTTAAAAATTGGTCTTCGTAAAAGATCTTTCCAAAGAGCTTTTACAAACAGCAGGCAGAAGTGTTCTTTTTATGTTTACAGTGTTTAAATGCTGATTCTCCCATTTCATAATGGCCTCAACCATCCCTCTCCTAAACCCAAAATTTTGTTCTCAATAGCCAGTGTACTCCAAAATTTAAGTACCCAATGTCAAAAAATTCAGGGCTTAATGTGTGCTTATCCCTGACACATCTTAAACTAGAGCTGTTCAACTTCATTTGAAAGCAGGGATACAGCAGGAACAAAGCTCTCCATTTTAAATCCTAAAGTGACTAAGAAAAATCACCTGTTTTAAGCATGTATACTGTAGCATGTATCATAAGTTTAAGGATCTGGGTGACTGAACGGCACAAAAACTGGGGTTCATATTTAGTTCTTCATTTAAAAACCATCCATTTAAAAATGAAAATGCCACAGCCAATTCATAGCATGTGCCACACTGTTGGGCACCTTATTTGTAGTCAGATGACAAAACAAGGGCTATATCACTGAGGATATTTGGGGGAGAAAGGGTTAGACACTCCAATTCCTAACGTAGCTGTTTTAAAGAGAAAATATGTCTCCATAGAAGACTCCTTAAAGAGCTGAAATTCTACAAAAATGGTTTAAGGAGGCAGCAATGGAGCCCGTAAAAAGTGCCTGGGCTTCAGATGAGACCTGCTCAAAGCAAGCTCTGCCCCTTGTGGCGGTGTTACATTAGGCAAGTTACAGCAGGTGGCTGCTCTGGAGCCTTTCCTCCAAATGGAGACAATAGCACCTACCTTAGAGGGGAACAGGTAAAATAAAGCGCAATGGCACGTGTAGGCACTAAAAAATGGTAGCTTTTGGAATCATTATTCAGAAAAATAAACTCTTCATTCTATGTTGACAAAGTCCTAAAAATATAAATAAAGCTTATCAAAGTTTAAAATTTATGATTTTTAAAACCCATATTCCTCATACTGTCCCCATGATTATACTGCTCCAGTTATTTTCAGGCCTTTACATATTGTAGTAAGAGAAGTTTCCAAGCCCTGATCCTTTCATCTCTTACTTTTCCCCCTTTACCCCCTTTCTCATTTCTTTTCCTCTTGGTTCACATCTATTATTAAACTGCCAGGTACCATTCTAAAGCACTTCACATGAGTTTAATCATTCATCTCACTCTTCTCATTAGGATGGCTCTATCCAAACCAGCTAGTGTTTTCCCCCTAAATTTCAAAGCTACTCATGAATGTTCAGTTCCCCTTCCTATGTTTCTTCTTCTTTCAGCTTAGTAGCTAGGGTATTAAATTTAGCAAAACATGTAGTGAATATGAAAAACAAGGGCCAAAAACAATGACAAAGTGGGGACTATATGGAGGTAACTGTCTCTGAGAAGGTCAAGAAATAATGCAAGATCTTGATTTATATGAGAGGGTCTGTTGCTACAGAGCAAATAGGAAAGAAACAGTCTATACTCTTCCCCTTCATTAAAATTAAAAGCTCTAACATATTTTTCATTTAAAATATAAGTTACAAGAGAAAAATTCAGCAAACGTGTAACACATAATTCTGCCAGGGCTCCACAGACAAAATTATGAGTATTCCATTGTTACCTCAGAGACCAATCATAAGTTCTTAGTATTTATCAACTTCCTGAAATTGTACTGTAAGTCAGAAAAAGAATATACTTAAAAAAATAGAAACGTCCAGTAGTATACCTTAGTACTAAAACTATTTTTTTTTTTAAAGATCTAGAGGGGTAAAGGCAGTCCCTCAAGATCATGGAACAAAATAAGTTAGGCAGTCAGCAAGTAGAAAAATCTGTCAATTCTGTTTCTGGCAAAACGTTTACTTTAAAGAAGAAATTTTTATATAGGCTGAGGCTAATATATTCAAGAGTATAAACATTTTTCCTTTGGATTACCTTCCTAAAAACAAAATTGTAAAGTATCATATTACAGTTGACTAAAAATATAGCCAAATCTGTCACAGCACAACATAAAAGGTAATGGACAATTATAGAATATTTTAAATTAATAGTAACAAGCCATCTACATCAACCCTTGTTTCCAACTAAAATCAAACAAAAGCAAAACAATCCCGTAGTGTACCAAGTGTGTGTTTCAATTTACTCTATGCAATCTAACAAAAATTTGGTCATAATTTACCAGATATACATAAATGATTTAAGCAGGAAAAGAAAATTCAGCTTAAAGAGAATAAGTTCATGTCTTATGGAAAAGTAAAAATACTAAGAATGTAAAGCCAAGTCCAGTTTCTATGCAATAAGTGAACTGTATTCTAATAAAGCAGATTTAGGGTGGTTTTCAGATATATATCTTTTCTCTTTAATATATATTTATATATAGACAGATCTACCAATTGTAAACTATGGTTTATTTTAAAGGGGGGATAAATGGTATGAAAGAAATCTTTATACTATACTTACATATTCACAATGCAGAACATTTTATGCTTAAAATACTTTTTCATTCATAGTATCTTTGCCCAACAAACATCTACTTTGGACCCCACCAGAACTACATTTTACTCATTTATCTAGAACACTGAGAATAAGATATACTCTTCAGTCCTAAACAAAAATCAAACCAAAACTATGCATGTCAGTTTTACACTTACGTAGAAACTACAATAAAGTTTAGATAACGAAAGATGCATCTAACCATGTAGCTACACTTTACATCTTTGACTGATCCAAGCAGAAACATCAGTGTCTAACATTTAACCATTATTCTACTGAAATCAGAGACAGCAAGAAAACTCGTCTCTTAAAATGTATCAATGTTTCAACTTTGATCAGATGGAGCACCAAAAGAATTATGTCTGTCAAAGTGTACTCTGCAACTTTTCTCACATGACTAGCATAATTTAGTTACCTGATATAAAATAGGAAAATATACTCAATTTCTATTTAAAAGAAAGCTGAAAATATGATATCCCTTACTCTTATATAATATACAATATGTTCCTGATAAATGTTGTGCATGTTAATATTAATTATGTGAAATGCTGCTGTGAGTTTTACAATCAGCTAATTCATCTATCATCAGGCTAAATAAATCTGACAATTTCTACTTTGTAATACATCACGGCTTGTACCCTGAAAAATTTATTTAATAATAAATTGTAAAGCCTCTCAATATTTTATTTGTAAGACTTCTGCAAATTGCTGAATCTGGGTGACTATTAGAAAAACTATTTATCAATGTGAAAAATTAATTGTCTTTATAATTTTAAAACAATATCCTAGTAAGTATGAAACAAAAGAGAATGCAATTTTTGTGTTAATTTTAATAATAAAAGGGCACAAGAGTAAAAACCTGATATGTCACTTATGTTGCATAACAAGCTAACCAAACTGGACGTGGAGGATAAACTTAAATCATTTTACTTATTGTTTCTATGACTCTTCTTTCAATTAGATTCTGTCTCTTCAAATAGGACTGAGGTATAGCACATTGGCAAAAATAAAGAGGCAAACTAGAATAGTGCCAAAGTAACAGATTCCCAAAACCAAATACCATGTCAGAAAACATCATATAGTAACCATTTATCATATTGGAGCAGCAGGAGAAAGTTACTTCAAAACCATAATCATTTAGTGGTATTTGCCAACTTCGCCATGGTAACTTTGCAACATCATTCTTCATTTGTGAAGTAGTAAAATTCATGTCAAAAAGGAAGGGGAAACGGAGGAAGTCAGTTAGTTCATTCCAATAAATTACCTCTCCAGTTCTTATAAACATACCCATCAGCACAAAATTAAGAAATACCTAAGACTAGAAGAGACTTGGTTTAACTTATGAAGCAAATTAAAATGGAAAATACAGAAAAGTACAACCAATGGGGTTGAAAAGGCCCCTCACTGAAAATCTGTATTAAAAAAATAAAATTAATAAAAATAAAAATAGAAACAAACTCTACTAGTACAAACTAGCCTGAGTGGTTTGATGGACAGAGTAATTGGGCCAACTGTCACCGTATTCTCATAAATGGATTTTCTTCATTCATATTAAACTGGTACATGAATGTCAGCTTTTCAAGGACAGGTACTCCATTTTCATAAGACCCAAAGAAGTATTGTATATCCTATAAATAAAAAATATTTTTACTTTGATAAATGACTGAAGTTATGGGACTCCATGTAATCCAACCACAAGGTTGTTTGCTGTACAGTCCTGTGCAAATATAAAAAAAAATTTTTTGCTATAAGGCTTTGACCCTACAGTTTTCACAGCAACAAAACTATCATCCAGCATGTACCATATTTTGCAAGCCTTCAAGTTCAACAATTCAAACTGTCGATTCATATTATGTCCAAATGCAGCATCCTTGAGGAGTATAGAAGGCCAGTTAATCATCTAGAGACATACAAACATCTCCTGACTCATCCCATCGAGACGGGTCGTTCTGATCTTCTCCATCATCAGCCAGCTCTTCATCAGCTTCTCCTACTTCATTCTCCTCGTATTCTTCATCCCGAGGGAAATCTGTATCCTGTCCCTGATCTACACCTTCTTGCCCTCCTGGTTGTGATTTATCTGCACAGTCTACACAAACACCATAGCGTCGAGATCCATGTCTTATTCCAACACTGGCCGCTAACATGAAGATCTTCTTACACACCATACATTTGTATTTTTTATCCTTTTTATGCACCTAATTGAAGGGGGGAAAAATCCAATAAGGATGGTGTAGATAACACAATGCATTTGAACCACTCAAATTTAATCACCCATTTAACCCTCAGTGAATATACCACTGTTTTGCTGTATAAAGTTCAGTATCAATTCATAAATCATATTCTTTGTTTAAAATTATGTAACATTCAACCTTCCTTAAAATTGCAGGTAACAGTGTTAAAATATCTTCAACTTTACTGACATAAACATCAACTATATTTAAAGTTACTTACCAGGGAATGTCTTTTTACATGCTCTCTGCGAGTAAACAGTTTTCCACAAATATCACAGCTAAAGGATCTGACTCCCGTATGAATAAGCAAATGCCTTTTTAGTGTTCTTCTGTATTTGGCTACATAGGTACAATGAGGGCATTTTAACTTGTTCGTGTTTAGAGATGATTCACCTTTGAGAATAAAAAAAAAAAAACACAAAAAGCACTTACATATAAACAGAAAACTTGCTATCAACAGCTTACTATCCCTGAAAACAGGGACTGATACAGGGCTACTGCTCTCTTGATTTTTTTTTTTAAACTCAGAATATGGAAGCTTTTAATTGTTAAGCATTTAAAATAAGTCCATAGATATTTAGTTGACTAATACTTGCCATTTTCCCAAGTTTCTTGTTTTGGCCAGGATTCAGGCAATAATCCATACTTGAAATCGTTTGAAGCACCCGGTATCAATCCATATTTGAAATCATTTGAAGTACCTGGTAGCAATCCATACTTGAAATCACTTGATGGGCCAGGCATTAGGCCATACTTGAAATCATGTGAGGTACCTAATACAATTGAAAAGTGATTTTTCAGGTAATAGTGGTAATAAAGGTCTCTTGCTAGAATCAAAAAACACAATATATATGAACATTTCATCATTTTGATAGAAGAGCTTAGTATAAAATAGCTAAATAAAAAAAACTCTACAGTTTAGTGTAAAACTGAGATGTCTTCATTCTTTATTATCCTAATTGGCAAGCATCTTAAACAGAAAACAATCTAAAGTTTAAAGTACAATTCAACCACAGGAAAAATTCAGTGAAAAAAACCTGAATATTATTTAATGTTGTGTGGAGACCACATGAAACTGCTCCTTTAAATACTGTGTTTCAAATACATTCAAAACAGAACTCTGTCTTAATAACTGCTATCCCTGACTATTCGATCACTTGAGACTATCACCTTGAAACCCAGCTGTGGAACACAATAGTCTCCTTTTTCCCCCAAACAATCACAGTCTTGTTTTAAGACTAATTCTAAAGAAAAATGGACTAAGGATGAAAAATATAAACACAAGTAAATTACAAATGTAGATTATTAGTCTCTTGCTTGTGGTTTCAGACACCTTGGGGCAAGGTAACTGGCCCTTTCAGGGCTTCATCAAAACCTCTTGATAAATCCATCCTCTTAAATGGAAATCTAGAAGGTAGAATCAAAATAGAATAATTGAAGTCCCTAAGGGAATTTGTGCCTGAGGATCTTCAGCTAAAGTAGGAATTATCTCCTGTGGACTTAATTTCACCTTGAACATTCCTTGTAATTGGTTATCCTTTAGTAATGTGAATCCAGAATCCTCCATGGCTATTGCCACCCTGATCCAACTGACCATCAACCCTTGCCTCTGGATTATTTTCAATAGCCATCAGCTTATGTGTCCTCTTGGAGTTTTGTTCAATACAATCATCATCATATTCTTTTTAAATTTTAAGTCAGAGTTTGGCGCTATGCTCAAAAGCCTGCAAAGACTATCCATCTCACTCAATAAAAGCCAAGGACTTCCAATATCCTACAAAGCCTTACCTGACCCAGCCCTTGCTTCCAACTACCTCTTAGGCACTCTGTTCCAACCACATTAGTCTCTGTTCTGTCCCTCTGTGGTAAGATGGCTCCTATGTCAATGCCTTTGCATTCATTCTTTCCTCTGCCTGGAATACTCCCTTCCAGGCCCAGTTTTCCTCCCATGGACACCATGGTTTTGATAAAAGAGTGCTTGCCAAAAATGAATGTTCTAAGATTTTACTTCCCTATATCTACATGCCAGGTATTGGGTTGGTCAAAAAGTTCATCTAGTTTTTTTCCATACGATGGAGCACTTAATTGTCTTATTTTAAGGAAAAAAACAAAAAAACTAAATGGACTTATAGCCAACCCAATACATTGCCTCTCTTAAAATTTAAAAGAACTTAAGACTTACTTGAGGACAGTATCAATACCCAACAGTGCAAAAAAACTCTCAGGTAGTTAAAAATCACACTTCATTAGTATTAACATAAATTATTTTTTACTTGAAACATCCCCCCCCCCTTTTTTTTACTGTTAGGAAAGCCATCTCAAAAACAAAAAACAAAGGAAAAAAAAAGAAAGCCCATTTAACTATACTATGGTTTTCAGAACCCTAAAGTGTGTCACCCTATCTATGTGTGTGGGGTGGAAGAGATTATCTTCACATTTCTAAAGTTTGACTTTTGTGATTCATAGTTCTTGTCCAAACCAATGCAGAACCAAGTAAGCCCTAAGGGAGCAAGAACTGGGCCTGTCTTACCTTTGATGTCTAATGTCCAAATACACTTCAGTTATTTGTTGAGTACATGTATCTGGCAAATGCTAACATGCACAAGGTATTTTTGACTTGCTCAAAATACTTAAAAAATTAATATAAGAAATCATGTTAGATATGCTGATATCTTCAACTAAATATTATTCACTACATAAAAGGATAGAAGAATAGCCCTAAAACAACATACAAATTGATAATCTAAGAGTCAGAATTTAAAGTTTTTAATACTTGAAATTCTGTTTTTCTAAATAACCTGCAGTAAAGATAAAATAAAAAGTATTCATGATGATAGGCAAGACAGCATCCTGAAATTCAAAATAATTCAAATTAAAAAAGCCTCATCCCAAGCTTCTATCATCTCTTCAAATTCTTAGAACCAGTATCCTGTAGGAAACATAAGAGCAGTGAAGAAAGGTATTCCTTTGTAAATCAATACACTGAAGGATCATTAAACTTTTGAAGGACCTCAAAACTTTTTTTGAGGTAGATCTTTAATAAGCTTACCTAATGAGGTAGATTCTCATTATTTCTGAGAAATAATGTACTCATAAATAATATCCTTCTGAGTACATTATTCCATAATGGCAAACTAAGAAGAAAGCAATGTTCTTAAAGTCAAAATTATAATAAAGGCTATCTCAGTTTCAGAAACTCCAATGGATCAAAGTGTCCCCTAAAGAGAAGTTAACTGAATCAAAGGTGAATTTTATTGAGAATGAGATAAATTATATGGACCATTATCCACTGAGCATGTGTATGTGCAAATTTAAAACTTTACATATAAATTCACATAGCCCAACTGAACCCACCCATTCTTGAAACAGATCTCTAAACCAAAACAAGGTCAATAAAAAATTCCTGTACGTGGCAATTCTCTGTACAGGCAAAGTCTTCAAAATTCAACCCATCTGATCTGTAAACTACTCATTTCAAAACCTTTTTTGTAAATTCTTTTCAACAGTTAGGAGAAACCACCCTACCCTACTGCATAGAAACTGGACTTGGCTTTACATTCTTAATGTACTTTTACTTCTCCTCAAGACATGAGCTTACTCTCTTGAAGCTGAATTTTCTTTTGCTGCTTAAATCATTTATGTGTATCTGGTAAATTATGACCAAATTTTTGTTAGATTGCATAGAGTAAACTGAAACACACACTTGGTACACTGCAGGATTGTTGTGCTTTGGTTTTAGTTGCAAACAAAGTTTGATGTAAATGGCTTAATTTTGGTCAGTGTATACTGCATTCAGAAGCCCAACAGCTTTCTGTAAGAAGGACCCCCTAGTTGTCCCCCTCTCCATCAAATTTTAAAGAATTTCCAAGCTACAGGAGTGGAAACAATGAACATCCAATATCCCTTTATATATATATTCAGCAAATGTTACTTTTGCCACATGTGCTCTATGTCTACACATACATACATTTTGTCTATTTGAAAACATGCATACCCATACTTCACCCCTAAAAATAGCATGTATCTTCTAGAACTTTCTCCTATACAACCACAGCACCTTTATCACATCCAAGAAATTTAAAATTGTTCCATGACTTATCATTTAGCCTATACAACATATTTAAATATCCAACTGTTCCCAAAATGCCCCTTTAGTCATTGTATCAACCCATGATGCAATCAAGATTGACATGGTGTATTCACTTGCTCTCCTTGTGAATGCACCAACCTGGTGGTTCCTATTTGTCTTTCCTGACACTAACATGTTAGAATACAGACCAGCTGGATTTCTGTTGATTTGTCTGATTTTCCCATGTGACCAGATCTGGGTGAAACATTTTGGCAAGAATACCACATAGATGATGATGTGTGCCAGCTCATGCATCCCATCAGAAGGCACATTATTTCAGTTTCTTTTACTGCTAGTACTAAGTTTAATCACTTGGTTATAGTAATGTTCATCAGATCTCTTTATTGTAAAGAAATCTTTTCCCCTCTGTAATCAATTAGAAGTTACTGAGACCATGTGAATATGTCATTACAATACCCTTTCACTCAATCATCATGTAAGCCCATCAATAGTGGCTTATCATCCAGTGATGTTCTTGAATTATTTCCTGTGGGTGTTGCAAAATATCTTCTGTAAAGAAAGCTTTTTTCCCTTTCTAATTGACTTATAATGTACTCATGTAATTTATTTTAAAGATTTTATTTATTTATTTTTAGAGAGGGAAGGGAGGGAGAGAGAGAGGGAGAGAGAAACATCAATGTGCAGTTGCTGGGGGCCGTGGCCTGCAACCTAAACACGTGCCCTGACTGGGAATCGAACCTCCGACATTTTGGCTCACAGCCCGTGCTCAATCCACTGAGCTATGCTAGCCAGGCTCATGTAATTCTTTAGAATATGCAAGGATTCTCTGTCCTTACTTACAGGCTGCTTCTCCCAAAGTACAGTTGATATAAATATAGTGGTACCTCGTTACTCATCATTAAGTTGTTTTGGAATCTGTGATGAGTACTGAAACCAATGAGTACCAAATGAATTCAACGAGTGATAAAGCATTTTCTCCTGTGGGGCAGCGCTGTGACTCGTATGAGTTCTGGAAAGTGCAACAAATCCCTAACAAGTGCTGAGTGCTGAAACATTTTTTTTTCCATCAAAATGCAATGAGTTACAGGGTTTGATGATTTCTGAAGCAGACAAGTACCAAGGTATTACCATTTTACTATTTATAATTAACATTTCTGTAGTCATCAGGAATCATGCTATGATTTTACAACAAAGCTAATTCAAATACATTAATCATTCTGATAATTACCATTCTCAATTCCATCTATGTATTAGCAGAAAGCCACCATAATTACTTTTGCTATTTCAGAGTTTTAAAATGTTCTCTAAAATGAGGAACACCTATCTATTTGTATTTACTAGGCTTTCAAAGTTTATCACAATCATAGCCACCACAGATGAAAATATTTACATATAATACTCTTTTTTTCTCCTTTGTATTGAATTTATTGGGGTGACACTGGCTAACAAAAGACTCTCCTGAAAAAAAAAAAAAAGAAAAGACTTTTCTTTAAGGAAAAGAAACTGCATGAGGATATTAATAAACATGTACGTGAAAACTTCCTAATCCTCAAATGCTCTTAAATGTATTCTTTTTAAATTCCTACTGTACCTACCAACATCACCTCCATCTTGACCCAAGCTGGCTTCAGCCAATAAGTTTGCATTCACATTCACATTCCTATCACAGTCTGGCCCTGAGAGTAGAGCACCATCCAGATCTGAAAAGGAAATGGAGAATAATCTGTTATTTATAACCATACCATAGCCATTATGCAAAACACCACTCCCTTTTGTAATTGTTTCTTAGACAGACATAGAAAGGCTATTTCCAAGTACTGAATACCTACAAGGCATGGAAGCATAAGACATGATTTTCAACCACAAGAAAAAGTGCACGCTCAACATTAAATATAGTGTACTAGATAGGAACAAGCTTTAGAGCCAGGATGACTTGGTACTCCAGCCAGGGAACCCTAGAAGAGAACCAGTTCTGGAGGTAATAGTAGGTTTAGGAAGTTTAGTTATGCACTGACTATCACATATTTAGGAAAAAGGTTTAATATGTTTGGGGTGGGAATGGTGGGTTAGAAGCTAAATTCTAGATGTTGGGATGGCCAAAAAGTTCATTTGGGTTTTTTTTTCTGTAAGATGGCTCTAGTAGTGCTTAGCTGTCTTTAATTTCATTCAAAACAACTTTGTTACATTGTATTGTGACACCTGTCATACCAGCATGCATTTTAAAAAACTGGTGAATTTTTGTGTAGCCATAGAAGATGGAAAAGCTATGCAACATTTTCAGTATATTATGCTTTATTATTTCAAGAAAGGTAAAAATGCAACTGAAACACAAAATTTGATTTGTGCAGTGTATGAAGAAGGTGCTGTGACTGATCAAATATGTCAAAAGTGGTTTGCAAAGTTTCTTGATACTTTTGGCATTGTGGTCAAATAATTCTTTGCTGTGGGCTGTCTTATGCATTGGAAAATGTTTAGCAGCACCCCTGGCCTCTATCCACTGTAAGCCAGTAGTAGGAGATACCATATTTTGCCATGTATAATGTGCAGTTTTTTGCCCAAATTTTTGAGGGAAAATAAGGATGTGCACTATACATGGGTATAATGATTACATACCATGGGTATAATAATCCCATGTATAATGTGCACAAAAATGTGGGTGCACATTATACACAGTAAAAATACAGTGGCTGGCATACTCAAAATATCCAAATCAATTAAGTTATTGGTGAAAATGAAAAATATGTCTTTTATTTTATGGAAAAACTAAGTGGATTTTTTGGCCAACCCAATACTTCCTGGGACCAGCTCTGCCACTTCACAGCAGTGAAGCAGGTTGTTTTGCATCTGTGACTGAGAACTGCTACACTGGTCCCTAATGTAGTCCCTAAAGCAGCAGCAGGGTTATCTGGCCCCATCCCAGACTTACTCATATAATGAAAAGTACTTGTTAGCTCTTGGCCTGGTATATAGCAAACACTCAAAAAATTTAACTAGTATTTTTTTTCCATTTAAATTTCCAAGTGGAGGAATTTAGTACCAAAGGCTATAGATTTGGTGCTTGAACTGGTGACAAAAATGTCTGTTATAGACTATACATGGTAAATAAGGCCATGGGAGTGAACAGATGAGACCATGAGGAAAAGGCAATGACCAATTTATTGAAGAATACTAGCATTTAATAAGCTACAAAAGGGTATATAAAAAGGCTTAAGGAGAAGTATTTCAAGTAGTCTACTGTGACAATGCTGTCAAGAATTCAAAATGAGGCCTGAAATATGCATTACTTTCATTTCATCCAAGAAAACTGAGCACCTAAGTGGGTTGGTAGGGTAAACAGAAAGAGTAAGAGTGGCCTGTGTTGTGAATGGAAAACAATGAATTATGAGATACAACACAATTTGAGAAATTTGGCCCTAAAAAGGGAAGAGTGACAGAGTAAGATTTTTTTAAGGTTAAAGTAATAAACATAGTTAGATGCCCAAAGGACACAAATCACTAACAAGAGAAGTTAAAGGTACTGAAGAAATATCACCAAAAGAAGTGATCTGATTTGTAAGATTCCTAGAGTCTGTCTGCAAAGACAATCTGTCCAGAGAACAGTTTGAAGATAGGCACTGAGGACATTTCAGTCTAATGGCTCTTATTTTCTGTCAGGTAGACTATGACGTTACTGCTTAGAGGAAATGGGCTGGCAGTCAGGAGGATGACTGAGAAGTTCATGGACAGTAAACAGTCACAGACTTCTTTACCTGAGAAGTTCATGGACAGTAAACAGTCACAGACTTCTTTACCTTCCTTTCCTTCAGAGCAGGGATACTGTTTAGGTTTTCTTTTCCCAGTGTTTATCAAAATGCATGACAAATAAAAAGCTTTTCAAAAAATGTTAAATGCTGGCTTAAATATTCTGCCCTTTACAACCTGTCTTACTAATTTAGTTTTAATTAATAGCATTTGAAGAATAACTTCTCAGTTTTCTGGTGTGCAGTAAACAGTAAAACATACCCATAAGCTGAAAATAATTAACTGAAATTCAGTACCTTTGGTTTCCTATGAAAAGTTAAATGTATTTCAATAATCAAAAATAAAATTCAAATTATTATCCAAACAATTTTACTAGGTTTCCCAGTATCTCTTCTTAAAAAGTCATTCTAAAGTGTAGTCTGTTCAGAGGGCAATTCTTAAAGTTCTCCCAAGTTGGTTTGTAAATACAGGGTATAAATGTTATTTACATAACATTCTATAGTGATTTGTTGAAGGCTTTCCTCTACTGGTTCTTAAAATAACCAGGGGTGTCCAACCCTTAGCCCAACACAAAATCATAAATTCACTTAAAACCTTTTTTTTTGCTTATCAGTTTTCATTAGTGTTTGTGTACTTAAAGTGTGGCTCAAGACAACTCTGCCAGTATAGCCCAGAGATGCCAAACCCCCTCTCCTACCCTATCTCTAAAGTATTAGAATTTAATTTATGATATTTAATCCTACATGGACACTAAGTACAGAACATCTCACCCTAAAATGTATTCTGTATGCTTAATAGATGGCAAATGTATTCTTCCTGTATACAATATTTCCTCTCAAATCAAAATCATACCCATGCTATAGATACTAAATCTCTTTTGAGAGGTACCAACTACTTAGTTCTTTATATCAACAACAAATTTCAAAACAGGTAAGCTCTTCCAGGCTGACAATAAGTTTTCATAAATATCATGCTTAACTCAGGAACCAATACATCATATCACTGCTGTACCTTATTTAAAAACACCCACACTGCCTAGCAACTCATTCTTCATCAGTTTTGTTGACATGAGTAGGAGAGAAGCTGGGCAACCAACCACTCACTTGATTAAGGAATGCATTTGCTTCACTGGAAAGCAAAAACAGTAACTCTTGCTCATCAACTTTTCTCTAAAATTTTAAGATTAAAAAATAAATCTAACATACTGCTTTTTAAACATTTGTAACTTTGCTATAGAAATCTCCCACTTCACCTAAAAACTTTGCAAAAAGGACTAAGATCTCTCTACAAATGACACACCTTTCTGGAGAACAATTTAAACAGTTTCACAAGATAATAGCTTTTTTGAATGGTAGCAGGTATTATATGTGCTATGTAACATCATTCAAGTCAAAGCTAAATGATAAGCCATGTAAAATTTCTTCCATTTTTACAAATGTCTTTCTCCCATGAGCAGGAAACAGCAGATCCCTGCCCAAAAGTAGACACAAACTAAAACCAGATTTTATGCATCAAGCAGTAAGTCCTTTTGGATATGCCTTCTCATTCAAACTTTACATGTTTATGTAATAATAGTAAGAACATTCTTATCCTCAACTGTACGAGGAAACTAAGGTAAGCTATAAGCAGAGTGCTGCACTGGTCATTAACTGTATCACACTGCCTCCTGATAATGTATTATGAGCACAAAACGTGTCGCTTGGCACACTGCAAGCGATCACAAGAAAAGGGCAGAGGGTGGTGGTGGTTCAATTTGCAATGCTGGAAATGAAAGTACAGAAGTCTATTCACCTTAATTTCTTTTCTGCTAAATGCAAAAATAAACCTTACCTATATTCTGCTAAACCAGCATTCGCTTATTAACCTTCTCTTTATTTAATAAAACCATGTCAAAATCTAAAGTGGACCTTATATTTGGGCTATCAGTTCTTTACAATACATTTTTGTCTATCGTTAAAGCCACCTCCTCCTTAGCATGCATTTAAAAGAATTGTGATTAACCATATATTGCATTTTTAAAACATGACCTCTTGTTCATGGGTCTTTTAAAAATCTGATTAACAAGCAACAGAAAGTGTTTTTATAAACAGGTATAGATTATTTTTCTCTTCCTTCATTGCAATCAAGATTTTCCTCCATTCAGTGGAGTAAATTCAGTTGCAGTGTTATTATATAAAGCATCCTGAATTCCTGTAGCAGCCTAGAGACTCAACAAACAGTAGTTTCCCTTCACCCGGAAGCTTGCTGACTTGAAGTGACTACTGTCTTACACTAGACTCTACTGTTTCTTTGCACTGCTCAAATAAGCCTGTTATTTCTTCCATGACTAGGCCTTAACAGGGCTCCCTAGGGCACTCTCCACTCTATGAATAACACCCTGCAAATGTTGTGTTCAAGGCAAATATAAACAGACCGAATCTCTAGTTAAAACCTCCCATTGTCTCAGAGTTTGTAAAATAAAATTCACAATTTATTACTATGTCAAACAGAATCACAATTTGGCCTTAAACTATTCACCCAACCTCACCTCCCTGCAATACCCTCCCCCTTCTATTCTTTTAACCACTATTCCAACTTCTTGTTACCTTGCAGTTGGTGAATGTCCTCCTTCCCCTCCTTATAAACTTCAACACACACAAGAGCCAACCCTATTGTTGCTTCTCCAGGAAGCTTCCCCCAACTCTTCTGAGCAGCTGTACCCCTGCCACATTTCTTATTAAACACTTAACACACTGCCTAGGGTACCACAGCCATTCCATTGTGAACAAGTGCTCAGTGTTACATCAGCAATTATCTGGCATGTTGCTTAGTTTCTTGGGGCTTTAAATAAAAATTTTATTACCAAATTTCCTCTTATATTATGATGTGGAAAACTACTCTGGAGCCTCAGAAATGCAATGTTTGATTATAACATAACATTTCTAGAGAATAAAGCTTTGAAAATTTGAAACTATGTGGT